CCCCCAGCCCGGAACCCTTCTGACCCTCTCCTCAACCCCCGCACCCCAGCCTGGAACCCTTCTGATCCTCTCCTCAAACCCCCCCAGCCCAGAACCCTTCTGACCCTCTTCTCAAACCCCCAGCCCGGAACCCTTCAACTCTCCTCAAACCCCCCCAGCCCGGAACCCTTCTGACCCTCTCCTCAAACCCCCCCAGCCCGGAACCCTTCTGACCCTCTCCTCAAACCCCCCCAGCCCGGAACCCTTCTGACCCTCTCTTCAAACCCCCCCAGCCTGGAACCCTTCTGACCCTCTCCTCAAACCCCCCCAGCCCAGAACCCTTCAACTCTCCTCAAAACTCCCACCTGCAGTGGAGCACCCCCAGGGGTTTGGGCTCTTTTTTGTACCCTTGCTCAGTCCACAGCACGTCATGTCCTGCTCCATCCTCACAGGAACCTCACCCCAGAATATGAACCCCATTCCTCCTGCTACCCCTGACGTCACCCCACTTTGAGTCGTCCTGTCTCCTTAGCAAGTGATTTCCTGAACCATGAAAGCCACCCCTTTACCCTCTTTCTTTATAGGGGGAGCAGGGAGATGATGGGGACCCTGGCCCAATGGGCCCTGCTGGAAAAAGAGGAAACCCAGGTGTGGCTGGTTTGCCTGGAGCACAGGGCCTCCCAGGATTCAAGGTTAGTCACTTACCTCTTCCACTCTACATACCTTGGTACCAACTACTAAAAAAAACCAAACCCAAACAAAACAAAAAACCCTAAATAAAAGTAAACCCACGGCAGTCAAGTTGAGTCCAACATATCACCAGATTTCTAAGAAGGTAAATCTTCACTGGAAGAGGTTGCCCATCTTTCTCCCCTGGAGTGGCTGGTGGATTTGAACCACTGATCTTTTGATTAATTACTCAACACACTATGCCACCAGAACTCCTCACCAGACATAATAAACTCAGTTTGACTCATAGCTGACCCTCCAGCAGGTTTTCTATAGCTAAAAAAAAAAAAAATCACACGGGACGTTGTCTTCTTTTTCCTAAGAAGCAACTGGTGGATTTGAACTACCTGCCTTTGAGTTGGCAGTGTAACTCCTTACCCATTAGGCTACCAGAGCTCCCTATACTAGTATTGATTATGTTGTTGTTGTTGTGTATCATGGAGTCAGAACCAACCCATAGCTGACCCTCCAGTGGGTTTTTGGAGGCAGTTTCATCACACGGGAAAAGACTGCCAATCCTCCCGTGGAGAAGCTGGTGAATTTGAACCACTTGCCTTTGGGATTCCAGTGCAGTTTCTTATCACTAGGCCGCCAGAGCTCCCTAGAACTGACCACAGGATTTTGGAAATGCAATGGTGGGGATAGGAGTTGGAACTGCTTCAAAGGCAGTGTGAGCTTTTTATGATTTTTACTCCAGGAAGTCCCTTCCCAAGGTCTGTGTGAAAAAATGAAGTCCACATTGCCGATCCTTCTCAGTGGTCCCTGCTCTGGGCTTAACCAAATATAAGACAGTTGACCAAGGTTAGCTGTACCTGCTCCTGTCAGACCCTTGAAACCAGTTGTTGAGTTGTCACTGGGCGCCCTCTTGTGGATATTTGTGGAACACTAGCTATTGCTTGCCGCCGGGGTCCTTCACTGCCGCTTCAGCAAGATTCCCCTGGAATGACTTCATTTGGGGATGGAGGGCAGCCATGGATGAGTCTGAGCCCAGGCTAGACACTGATGGGAAGATTGCGGTGAAGGAGTCAAGCGTGAACTTTCCTTCCCTGAGCTGGAGGTCTAGCTGGAACTCTGTGAGACCAGAAGGATCAATTGCTTAGGATCAGAGAATAATGAAATGGGAGAAGAAAGGGGGGAAACATTCTAGGCAGGAGAAGCAGTGAGCTTGGGTATGGAGGTGGGAAATGTCATGTTTCACTTGGAAGTTATGAAGTGAGACGACGGAAGGGTGGACATATGGGGCTTTGAATATGAGGGTAAGGAACGCTGTTGCCAGCATCCGGACACTTCACCTGTTGTTCATTGTCACTGGTGGGAACCAACTCATTGCTCCAGCAGGTTGTCAGAGGCATCGCATGGGAGGAGACTGCCCATTTTTCTCCTGAGCAGCTGGTGAATTCAAACCATGTGCCCCTGGGTTAGCGTACATCTTCTTACAACTAGGCCTGTTTCCTGCCCTAATCTTGTGGGTCCTGCCGTGGAATCACTCCTGTGTTAACTGTGTTTCTTTAAGGGTGAGAGCGGGTTACCTGGACAGCTGGGTCCACCTGGCAAGCGAGGCACAGAGGGTGGAACGGGGCTTCCAGGAGGCCCGGGAGAGCCTGGGTCCAAGGGCCAGCCGGTAAGTGAGCCCAGGAACTAGACACAATCACACACACGTATGTGTCACAGCCCTGGGAGCAGCCAGCCTACTCTCTGACAGTGACAGAGCAGCCACTCCAGGCACCAGGTGTTGGTCTCAGGGGAGGAGAAGCTGCAAAAAGAGAACTGATGGTCCCTCAGCATGAGGAGGGGAGGGGTGGCCCAGCGCCCAGTGTCTACTGACTCCTGGTGCAGAGTAATAATCAAGCACATTCTGTCATTTTAAAGGGGTCCACTTGTCAACATGATGTGTGAATCCTAAATGTTCGTGTACCTCATAATGTTATGTGCCGTCGAGTGGGAACTGACTCACAGCTGACCTTCCGATGGGTTTTCAGTTACTGTAGATTATATGGGAGGAATCTGCCCATCTTTCTCCGGCGGGACAGGTGGAGGAATCAAACTGTGTGCTTTTGGGTTGGCAGTGCAACTCCATACCCACTAGGCCACCAGAGCTCCCGTACCTAATAATAGAACGTCAGAATACATTAAGCAAGAACTAGTGGAAGTTCAAGGAGAAGTCAACAAATCTAAAATTATAGTGCCTCCCAGGGCTGCCGTGGGAACAAAATGAGAAAAATCAGATGTGATCTAGGTAAAATCTGGGCATAGAGAGTCCCTCCCCAATTGGCTGCCTTCATTCATATCGTTCCTTAGAAGGGCTTCCGGAAGGGTGGAGGTGGGGGTGCGGGGTCCTTTCATTCTCTCCCTTGAAGACCTAGAGCGGGGGTCCTGAGGCGAGAGGCTTGCCCCTGATGGGATCTCTGAGCTGGCCTTTGCTTTCTCACCTCCCAGCTGGGCTGATGTGGGTCCATGTTGGGAGCAGCTCCCACTTGTCAGACCATCTCTTTCAGAGCCGTCCAGCACCCCTGGCCACATGGGAGGGAGAAGGCGAGCCCAGGCATCGTGGGTGACCTCTGGGCAGCCCTGTCCTGTCTTTGCACGCCCAGCTCTCTTGTTCTCCCTATAGGGTGATGCTGGCGAGATGGGCTTTCCAGGAATGACAGGCCTCTTTGGACCCAAGGTACAACCTCGCTGGCCCTGTTGGCCTTTTTCTTTCACCATTCATTCATATATTCATTCAATAAAGGTTTACTGAGTGCTCGTGAGGCGGGCTAAAGTACAAACTGAATTAAGGGTGAACATCCTCGCCTCCTGCTACTCATTCTCCAGCAGAATATTCAAAGCGCCCCCCCTTTCCTTGCTCTGTGCCTCATGCAAGTCGTGGAGCCTCCCCAGGCCTCAGCATCCCCCCCATGAGGTGATAAGCGAGGAGGACAGGGATGCTGCAGGTGGAGGGCTGACAGAACACACAGCACTAAACTCAGTACCAACCACTGTGGATATTTTCCAGAGAGTCGGTCAGGCATGGCCTCTCCTGCCAGGGAGGGTGAAGGTGGACCAGGCACAGGGAGCTGTCCAGCACTAACTCGGGCCTCTTCTACCCTCTGCAGGGGCCGCCCGGAGACATTGGCTTCAAAGGCATTCAGGGCCCGCGCGGGCCGCCCGGCTTGAGGGTGAGTCCCTCTCCCGGCAGGCACAGCCATCCGTCCGTGTGGCTCGGTCATCAGCTGGCTGGACCCGTGTCCTCCGCCTCTACTACCCAATCTCCTTTCCCACACCCACATCTTTGCCGATCCTACCGCTGGGCTGCCAGCCCCTCTCTTGTGCCAGCCCTCCCCTCCCCTATCCAGGCCTGTAGGGGGGTCATGATGCCTGGGTGGCTCTGCATCTGGAGATCCCCACTCTACTCCTTTGGGGCACACAGAGGCCTCTCCCCAAGGACTCTCTTCCCAGAATACAGCCTTTCTCTTTCCTCTAGGGAAAGGAAGGCATCATCGGGCCCCTTGGAATCCTGGGACCCTCTGGACTCCCGGTACGTGCAGGGGGCTGGGCGAGAAGACCCCTGGGTCCCTGCTTTCCCGGCTAGTCTGAGCCCCAGTTTCTCCTATGTGTCATCTCTCACTGGGTGTTGGTTTGTTGCAGGGCCCGAAGGGTGACAGAGGCAGCCGAGGGGACTCGGTGAGTGATAGGCTGGGGACAGTGCTACTGGAGTTGAGGGGGCTGGGGAACAGCTCTGTGAGGTCCCCTAATTCTCCCTGCTTCTGTCTCCTTCCAGGGACTGCAAGGCCCACAGGTAAGCCCTGGGGTAAGGGCTGGGGGTGGAGGGAGGAGGGGCAGGGCACTCTGAGTTCTCCTCCACATGACCGTTAATGGCTTTGGGAATGTCCTTCCTCTCTCTGGCCTCAGTCTTCCCATCTGTGTTCATCAGCACCAGGGAACCATTGACCCTGGGCCTCAGCTCTGTTTGAGGAAGCTCTGGGGTGGGGCGGGAAAGAGAAGCCTGGCTGGCCCAGCCTCACTGCTTTTCTCTTCCCCCAGGGTCCTCCTGGCCCAAGAGGGCAGCCTGGCCCGCCGGTGAGTAACTGAGTGCTCGGTGCATCTGGGGCTCCCAGGAGAGGGGTGAAGTCGTTTCATTGAGATCCAGACATCTGTGGGCAGAATTCATAGGACATATGTGCCCACCAGCCTCTAGGAAAGTGGGTCCAGCCCTGGAGAGGCCGGACTTCTGGGGCATAAGACCTGGGAGCCCACTCTGCACCCTGACTATCCTGAGAGCCTGGACTCTGATACTCAGCCCCCCTCAAATGCTCACCTGCCTTCCTCTTTTGCAGGGTCCTCCAGGGAGTCCTGTTCAGTTTGTAAGTTGAACACTCTCTTTTGTCCACTTGGGGTAGGCTCTGGGGTGCCGTAGTGGGTAGAACCCTGAGATGGGGTTGTGGATGTCTACATCCATTTGTCCTTCCTTCTCTAGCTCTGGACACAGTAGAAAGCTGGGGCAGTAGGCAGGGGGCCTGTACTCTAGCCAGGATGTGCCCCTGACTAAACTTGGAAAGGTGCTCTGACCCTGGGCTCCCAGACCTATTTCTGTGCTGTGTCAGGCAAATTCAGATGGTTCCTCTGTCTCAAAGTCTTAGGGTCCAAAGAGAGCCGAGCAGGGGGCACATCAGGAGTCCATTTCTGTCTCAGAGCACAGACCCTCCCAAACCCAGTGATGAGGTCTCTCCCATTTCATGGCTATACCAGTAGGTTGACTTGGCATCAGTCCTGACAGCATCCTAGGAAATGTTGAAGACCAAAGAGTAGGAAGCCCTGAGCCTGGTTGTGGTCCTCTCAGAACCTCTGCTCATCTTATTTCTCTGCTTCTCATAGTCCCTCATTCCTCACCATCCACAAAAGCAAAGCAACAGCTGATAGCCTTCTCTAGCACTTCCCACCACAAAGACTAGTCATAGCAAGGAAAAAGACTTCTCCAGTAGAAATCTAGAAGACTTGGGGGTGGGGGTTGCTTAATAACTAACGTGTACTGAGTGCTTGTGAGATGCCAGACGCTCTGAGAAGTCTTCTTTGTGTAGTGACATTGATGCCTCTCAGCAGTTGTGCACAATAGGTTTATTATCACACCCATTTTAGAGATGAGAAGACTGAACCACAGGGAGGTTAGCAAGAAACAGGGCTGGGCACTGACCCAGAGGAGAACTTCCAGAGTCTGGCTCAGAACCGTATTTTTAGAGGCTGTGTTCATGGCAAGACTGTAACTGTGTGTCTGTCAAGCCTGGTACTAGTGTAAGAGTCACACAGTCATGTATTAGACAGCTCCAGTGTGGGACAAAGGCTGTGGTCCTTCACGAGCACACACGGAGACTATGGGCTCACAGGGAAGGGGGCCTCCCCTCGCCTGGAGGCGGCAGTATTAGAACAGGTTTCACAGCAGAGCCTATATATATATATATGATGAATATAGGGTCAGGTTTCATGGCATAGATGCTGTGTTATTTGAGATGAATTGATCCCTGGCTGGGGACTGTCCTGTGCTGTGTAGCCACTGAACGTCAGTCACATCTCCTCTCAGTTGTGACAATGAAAAATGTGTCTGAGCATTGTCAGCTGTTCTTCTGGGGGTGACATCACCCCTAATTCAGAACCTGTGGTGAGGGAAGCAGCCAGAAGGAGCATTAGAGGCAGGAAGGATGTTCCAGACAGCGGTGGCAGCAAGTCGTAAGACCATGGCATGGAAGAATCTGGCAATGGTACAGCGTGTCAGGTGCACACATCCTGATGGGTTTGGGGAAGGGAGAGACGAGGTTGGAAGCTTGATTGTGAGCGTGGGGAGAGCTGAGGTGGGCTGGAAGAAAGGTGATGGCAGGGTCAGGAGCGCCCTCTGTCTGCAAAAGGAGGAAGGACAGAGTTTGCCCCGGGCTTGGACTTACAGCCCGTGAATTTTGGAGGGAAATTGGAGTGGGAGAGCCGAGCTCCACTTGGTGTGTCTGGGAGGCCCCCACAGAGGTGGACTTGGGACAGACATTCTCTTTCCTCCTTGCGCAGCAACAGGATAACTTTGGGGCAGCTTTCCAGACATGGATGGACACTAATGGAGCCCTCAGCCTGGAGGTACTGATTGACCCCCGCCCCGCTTGCGAGTCCTTTCCGTGGAAAACAGAAATAATGGCGGGCCTGTGGCCGGCTCGCTCAGTGTGACCTACACCGAGCATTTCCCAGCCCTCATCTCGGTGCCATTCACAGCCACGGGGACGAGGGGCAGAGACGCCCAGTGGTGATAATGAGGCCAAGGCCGCACAGCCATGGCGAGACCCGTACACGTAGGTGTGCTGTCCACCCACGTGTGTGCGCCCACACGAACGTGCCTTCCACAAGCTGAGAAGCGGGAGGCTTTACTCCGCTCTGATTTGTACAGCTGACCCTCCCGCAGGAGAGATTGCCCATCTTTCTCCCTCGCAGCCACTCGTGGATTCGAACCCCCAGAGAGGTGTTACCTTTGGCTCTTGACTTAGCAGTGCCTCTCCCTGTGGACTCTTGGGGGAGGCACCTTAACCCCCAAGGTCGTGTGGGCAGCACTGCTCTGAAGCCTTGCTCTTCATACTCTGACTGTGGCCTTCCTGCCTCATGGGCATCCTCTCCGAGCCGCAGTCCTCCTCCTGGGACTGCAGTTACTGGCCCCCAGCTGCAACTCCTGGTGCCTCATAGCCACCTCCTCCCACCCGGTGGAAGCTCAGCGCCCCATTCTTGCTGCACGATTCCTCTCCTCCTCATAGACTCTCCCAGACAGGGATGTAGGGACACCCCTGGTGGTCGGGGCACCCCTGTCTGCTGTGGCTCAGGGGCTCTGCCCACCATGGACCAGAGAACACAGGGGGACCCTCCAGTCTGGTCAAGCTCCCCAATCATTATTGCAGTTCGCCACCCCCTCTCTCCTGCATCTTGTCCCTGACTCTGTTTCTTTATCTGTGGGAGGGAAGGAAACTCAACCTCTACCCCTGCCATGTCCCTTAAGAAATGGGAACTCGGAGATTTGGCCTTGGGTTGGACCAAGCCCTTCCAAGGCCAATGGCTACCCGCTCTCTTTGCGCCAGGGTTACAGCCATGCAGACCGGCTGCTGCTGGACCAGGGAGGGGAGATCTTTAAAACCTTACACTACCTCAGCAACCTCATCCAGAGCATTAAGACGCCCCTGGGCACCAAAGAGAACCCCGCCCGGGTCTGCCGGGACCTCATGGACTGTGAGCAGAAGATGGCGGATGGTAAGGAAGCCAAGAGGTGTGTGTGGAGCGAGGATGTCCTGAGTGGGGAGGTGAGGTGTTCAGAAGGCGCTGGGACGAGTCTCCATCCTGGAGAGAAAGACATGAAAGGTCATTCAGCAAGTGACTTAAGCCCCGTTGTGTTTCCTGGGATATATAAATATTGTGGGGAACACAGGAGTTGGGGACAACATAAAAGATGTCTCCAGGGTGGCATTGTCACAGGGAGGGGCCCCTTCCTAGAAGAGCCAGCCTGACCCTCTTACTGTCCTCTCTCTGAGCTAATGTGGTGCCAGGAGCAAGCTTTGATGGCTCATGTATCTGAGTTCAAGTGCCAGCACCACCTCTGGAGCCTGGCCACGACTCCCAGAACCCTGCCCTCTCCTACACATGAAGGCTGGGTGAGCTGCCAGGCGGCCTCACTCAGTCAGCTGCGGGCGCTTGAGCCGACCTGGGGAATCCAAGTGGGAGTCCTGGCTCCCAGCTTCTCCTGGAGGCCCAGGAGTTCTGGATGTTGGTGGAGCAACCACTCAGCTAGGTTGTCGACACGTGCTCAGCGTCTGAGCCTCAGAAAGATGGAAAAGATAGAAAAGTCACATACTCACAAGCTGGCTCCTCCGGGTGCTGTCAACCCTGCATTTTGCTCCTGAGAGTTTCTATCTCTGTATTTCAAGAAGACCCAAAGATTGTCCCCTGATTTTGTGCCCAGCTGGGGCTCAGTAGGTTACAAGGTGCATGGTCTCTGTCTTTAAAACCCATATGTGCCCCCCTCCCTCTACTGCAGGTACCTACTGGGTGGATCCAAATCTAGGCTGCTCATCTGACACCATCCAAGTCTCCTGCAATTTCACACATGGTGGACAGACCTGTCTCAAGCCCATCACGGCCTCCAAGGTATCCATACACACCCCACTCCCTGTCAGACTGGCACCCTCTGTCCTCACCCTGCCCTACTGTATTTCTGGGGGAAAGTTATCCCCTCTTTCCGGGGTCTCTAGTTCTTCATCTTTAAATTGTAGAAGGCTCATCCCAGGTTCATGGTTTCCAAACTGTCTGCAATTGGATGATACTAATATTCTTTCTTCAAAATCAAAATAGAAGGGTTGGCCAGGCAGACTTAGAGACCCACGAACTGTCAGCACTAATTAAGTCCCAGCAGTGCCCACCTGGGTTGTGCCACACTAGTGGTGTCTTCAGATGCTGAGCAATGTGTAATGAGCATGTGCTATGTGCTTGTCTCGGGCTGTGTGTCAATGTACACCCAGGCAGGCAGTGGCAATGGCCGTGGGGTGAGACCCCTGCCCCAATTTAAGCTGCCCCTCAATGAATTGCAAGTCCTCACTTTTAACAAGCCCTTTATATGTTGGGACAATGCATGCCACCATAAGACCTACTCCCTTGAGCCTTATTAACCCTTCACTGGAAAATCGAGTTAACAATATCAAACCCAGAATTTGAGAACCTCTAGAAAAAGGCATCTGGTCAACCAGTTGAGTTGCTTCCAGGTACCCAGACCCTGAGCTATGTATTAGGACCCAATTAGACAGAAAGCAGGGCTGTGTGTTGTTACCCCCCACAGTGGACCCACAGACCATCGGGGACTCAGTGACCACTACAGACCTTGTCCCCTCTGATTCTGAAGTTTAGCAAATCTCCCTGTAGAAGAGTGAGGCCAGACTGGAATCCATCTGGTGGCCAGTCCTATCAGGAGCGACGGCAGGAAGAGGCCTGGATCTTCAGAGAACCACCAGAGCCCTAAATCTTGCTCTCAGGCTTTCCATTCCCTGCAGCTCTGTGCACTCCCTACCCCATGGCTCTTGGTCACAGGGACCTGGGGCTTTAGAAAGAATGAGGGAGGCATTTTTCATCCTTGAGTGCTGAATGGACCTCTCAATCTTGGTCCAGGTCTTTTTCTTTTTCTTTGGTCCCAGCCCAGCCCTGAAGGTCATCTGTGCAGTAGGAGAGGGTCATCCATACATCAGGTGACATGGAGACCCCTGCAGTTCCTTCCTTCTCATTCCTGTCACTCCATAGCTGTAGGACTGGCTCCCCTAGACCTCTATTGCCCAGTCTTTCAAATGGGCACACTTCTCACACAGGCTGGTGGGAGCATCGGCTGAGGGGAGCATGGTTGAGACATGTTTTCCAGGACAGACCCATCTTTCCACTTCCATGGAAGACGAGAGGGTTTCCAAGTGCTGCAGCATCATCCCAGCAACACCTCACTGCTGTATCTCCCCCACAGGTCGAGTTTGCGATCAGCCGGGTCCAGATGAACTTTCTGCACCTGCTGAGCTCTGAGGTGACTCAGCATATCACCATCCACTGCCTTAACATGACCGTGTGGCAGGAGGGCAGTGGGAAGACCCCAGCCAAACGGGCTGTGCGCTTCAGGGCCTGGAATGGGCAGATTTTTGAAGCTGGGGGTCAGTTCAGGCCAGAGGTATCCATGGATGGCTGCAAGGTAACTCTCAGAGCCCCACATGCAGGGACAGTGCAAACATGTGCAATCTGTAATAATTACATATGTAATATTTTTTATATTACATATAAATCTGGAGAACAACCACCTGGCCAACTGACTGGAAGAGGTCTATATTTGTTCCCATCCCAAAGAAGGGTGACCCAACAGAGTGTGGAAACTATAGAATGATATTATAGATTTCATATGCAAGCAAGATTCTACTGAAGATTATCCAAATACCACTGGAACAGCACATCAGCAGAGAACTGCTGGAAGTCCAGGCTGGGTTTAGAAAGGGTCGTGGTACTAGGGATATTGTAGCTAATGTTAGCTGAAAGCAGGCAGTACCAGAGGAATGTCTGTGTTTCATTGACTATGCAAAGGTGTTTTACTGTGTGGATCATAACAAACTGTGGCTGACTCTGAGAAGAATGGGAATACCAGAACACTTGATCATGCTAATGAGAAACCTATACTTGGACCAAGAGGCAGTCGTCAGAACAGAGCAAGGAAACACTGCATGATTCAAAATTGGGAAGGGCGTACGCCAGGGATGCGTCTTATCTCCATACCTTTTCAACCTGTACGCAGAACAGATTATCCGGGAGGCTGGGCTCTATGAGGAGAAATGTAAGGTCAAGATTGGTGGACGATTTATCAACAATCTGCGATATGCAGATGACACAGCCCTGCTTGCTGAAACTGAGGAGGACCTGAAGCGTTTGCTGCAGAGGATCAAGGACTGCAGCCTTCAGTATGGACTGAGGCTCAATGTCAAGAAGACGAAGATTCTCACCACTGGGCCAATTAGCAGCATCAGGATGGATGGTGAAGAGATTGAGATTGTTCACAGCTTCAGTTTGCTTTGTTCCACAGTCAACACTCTCGGCATCAGCAGCCAAGAAATTAGAAGATGTATTGCCATGGGAAAGTCTGCTGTTAGGGACCTCTCCAAAGTACTGAAGAGCAATGGTGTCTCTTTGGAGACTTAGGTGTGTCTGATACAGGCCATGGTCTTTGCTATCACTTGTTATGCATCAGAGAGTTGGACAGTGACCAAGGAGGATAGAAGGAGAATTGATGCCTTTGAGCTGTGGTGCTGGAGAAGATTATTGAGGGTACCATGGACTGCTAGGAAAACAAACAGATTCATCCTGGAAAGGGTCAAACCGGCTGCTCCTTGGAGGCAAGGATTCTGAAGCTCCGTCTAACATACTTTGGACATGTTGCAAGGAGGGACAGGTCCTTGGAGAGGGACATCATGCTTGGTAGGGTGGAGGGACAGCGCAGAAGGGGAAGGCCCTCTATGAGGTGGATTGATTCAGTGACTGGAGTAATCGGGATGGGTGTGTCGGAGATGGTGCAATTGGCACAGGACAGAGCAGAGTTTAGGGCTGTTGTACATAGGGTCGCTATGAGTCACAGGCGACTCGATAGCACATAACAACAACAACAACAATATTTTTTATAATCTCTGGATGGCACAAACAATTAAATATGTGACTACATACTATGACAGATTTGAAAGCAGGAGTGGCATCCACTTCCTAAACAACATGCCTCCAAAACTCTATGAACTTGGATAAATGTCGATAGCTGTAGAGGGACTTCAGGCCTTTTGTTCACAGGATCACTATGAGTCATGCTCGACTCGAAGGCAATCAACAACAACAACAGCCAGAAGGTTGGTATTTGATACCCACCCAGAGGCACTTCTGGAAATGGACTTGGTGATCTGTTCTACAAGGTCATGTGTTAAAAACCCTGTGGGACAGTGCTACTCCACATGCACGAAGTCCTCAGAAAGCAGAACCTCTCCAATAGCAAAGTCAGGGTAAGGTGGGCACTCTCCTCACGTGTGATTACTGCCTCTGAAAACCCACTGGAGGGTCAGCTATGGATCGGTTCCATCTCAGTGGTGTACAACAACTATATCTATCTCTATCTATCTATATCTATATCATCTATATCTATATCTATACCATCTATATCTATAGATATCTCTTTGGACAGGTTTTCAGAGGCAATTAGTCTCATAGGAGGCGATTGTTCATCTTTTTCCCATGAAACAGCTGGTGGCCTCAAACTGCATGTCTGGGATTTGCAGTGCAGCTTCTTTGCCGCTAGGGCTCGTGTGTGTATGTGTGTGTGTGTGTGTGTGTGTGTGTGTGTGTGTGTATAGCTCTGGTAGGGTGGTTTGTAGGGAGCTGTACTGCTCAGGCAAAAAGTGATGCCTCTCTTATGGTTCAAATCCACCAGAGGCTCCATGGGAGAAAGATGGGCAATCTCCTCCCATGTGATTATAGCCACTTGGAAACCTGCTAGAAGATTAGCTGTGAATTGGATCTGACTTGACAGCAATGAGTGAGAGAATTATATGCATATATATGATTCAAAATCAAGAAGGGACTACCTCAGGGATGCATCCTGTGTCCATAACTTTTTAATCTGTATGTGGAATAGACTAATCAGGAGGCTAAACTTTATGAGGAGGAATGTAGCATCAGGATTGGAGGAAGACTCATCAACAACCTGAGTTATACAGATGACACAACCCTGCTTGCTGAAATCGAGGTGGAACCTGAAGAATTTGCTTCAGAAGGTCAATGACTGCAACCTTCAATATGGATTGAAGCTCAACATCAAGAAAACAAAGATTCTCACCACTGGGCCAATTGACAGCATCATGATAGATGAAGAAGAGATTGAGATTGCTTGCGGCTCCACAATCAACACTCTTGGCACCAGCAGTCAGGAAATCAAAAGACTAAATCCACTGGAATTTGCAGTGGTATCTAACCAAGTCTGCAGATCCACCAAGTCCATTTCTAGGATTGCTCCTAGAGAAATCATTAAGAATGATCTTGATTAGTCATTGTTGTCAGATGCCGTTAACAAACCGTCAATGACATCCCAAAGTGAATAAGTCTATCACAAAATGACATATGTTGTCGCTTAGATCAAATGGGAAGAACCACTTATAACAAATGATAAGCATCACTCTTCTGTCTGCTGTTGAGTTGGAACCAACTCCTAGCCGACCCTCCAGTGGGTTTCTGGGGCTGCACATTGCCTAGGAGGGTATGCGCCACCAGAGCGGTGTGGCCTTTGGATTAGCAATGCAGCTGTCTAGGGATGAGGCCACCAGAGCTTTCCAAAAACGAGCATGAAGATTTTGCTCCAGTGATGTTCGTTAGTTTACTTGTAAGAATTAAAGAGTACAACAAATGGGTTGTTGCTGCAGTGATGGATGGACAAGTGTTTGTGAGATGCTGAGGACCTTTGTCAATGTACGTGCACTGTTTCCTTTTCCCTTCAGGTCCAGGATGGTCACTGGCATCAGACACTCTTCACCTTCCGGACCCAAGACCCACAGCAGCTGCCCATTGTCAGCATAGACAACCTCCCCCCTGCCTCCTCAGGGAAGCAGTACCGCCTGGAAGTTGGACCTGCATGCTTCCTCTGACCTCTGACCTCTTGGCTCCTCTAGGCCTCGTGGGGGAGGGAAGAGGAAGAGGAGGCAAAGGGAGGGTACCTAGGGCCAGGTGGGCCCAGAGGCAGCCCACCAACCCCGGGATTCTTGGGCAGGTCCCAACTGTTGACTGCCCGATAGAAGCAAGGAGGAGTAGCAGGGGACAGGGTACCCTGGGACCAACCAAAGAGCCAGCCAGAGCAAGCTGGGCCTGCATGCCGCCGGAGCCCGCAGCCTGTCGGCCAGCTCTGCGGCCACCCCCTTCCCTCCCCAGCTTCCTGCCCAAAGAGCCCCATAGTCAAGCCAACTTGAGGGAAGGGGGCATCTCGTCAGCTGGTCCCTGCCAGGGAGCTTTTGATGTGCAATATTAGGAAGGAGACATGAAAAAAGGAGAAAAGGAAAGAAGTTTATATATATTATTTAAACAAAAAAGAAGATGTGTTACTATTTTTTTTTCACCTGGGAAAGAGATGAGCACATGAGAAAGAGCAGCCAGGGGGTGGGAAGCGAGGATGCCAGGAGAGGGATTGGCGAGACCCTCAGGGCTGGGGGGCCCACATTGCTACCTCCCACTGTGAAATCGCTGGTGCTCACAATTGTCTCATAATGTTTGTGATATTTTTTTAAGGGAAAAAAAACAACAACAAACCAACAACCTTATTTAAGATTCTAAAGGTGCTACCATTTTGCCACAGACTTTGAAGAAACTTTCTATGATGTGAGGCTTGGTCCACGTCTTGCTCTCTCCTCCAAATGACAAAGTTTGGGGAGTTTTTAAAAATTGTTCTTGTCATCACCCATTTGTTTATCCAGTAACTGCTTCAAGAAGAAAGAAAAGAAAAAAATAATTTAAAAAAAAAGAGCCAAAAAAAAATGCCTACCAGAAAGCAGAAGTAGAGATTTGCCTTTTAACTTATGGACTTTGAAATGTTTGTCTTCTTCAGGCAGGGGAAGGCCTCAGTACCAAGGCTTTTGACTTGGCCTCTCTTGGTCCTGAAAGGAAGTTAGACTGCCTCACAGGGCATGTCCTGGAGAAATGCTACAAGTCTTGACTTCAGAGAAACAATTGCAGGAATGGCATTGGTCAAGGCTGGCCTGGGAGGAGGAACTGACTTATCCAGCGTCTCCCAAGGCCACAGATCACAGCCCCAAGGTCATCTCTCCAAGATCAGTAGCAGTCGGTCCTTCTTGCTTTTTCATTGTCGTTAAATTCTCTAGAAAGCCAGTGTCGCTAGCTCCAAGTGTACATGGGGCCGAGGAGGAAGAATATGGGAATCTCACTTCAGCATTATGGTGATATTCAATGTAATCTGAGTTGTGCTATGTCGGCCAGCATGTTGGCACTCAGTTGGATGTCGAGGTTATTGTAACTATGGAATTATTTTTATAGAAGGGGGAAATGTATGTGAACGTTTCTGTTTGTGTATTCTTTTTCTAAATTGTGTCTCTTTGAGAATTGGATTTGGTTGTCATTATTTAATACCTCATTCTGGCCCACACTCCCTCCCGGACACTTCCTGTGCCCCCACCCCCACCCCACCCCTGCCTGGATGTTCCAAGGAAGTGCGTTTTCGTAGCAGCTCGGGCCTCATCTCAGCCCCCAGTTTCCCCATGCCACCAGTCTCAGCCTGGCCTCTGTCTAGTTCCTGCATTTTCTTGCTGTCCTTGTCTGTATCTCTGTCCACATGTCAGTGTGTTAGAACCCCCTGTGGGTTCCGTTTCATCTTTTCCCTTCTGGATTTTAAATAAATATTTAAAACTGAGGCAATGGAATGACTGGCTGTGGTGTGTGCTTCTTCTCAAAGGTTAGAGGGCGGTTTCTGGACCAGTCAGTGGGGCGATGCTCATCCTGTTTCCCCCAAAGGAGGAAGAGCGACCGAGGAGATGAGGTGCTTGGTTTACCTTTGTTGTTGAGGCAGAACTGACACATAGCTGACCCGCCAGTGGGTTTTCAGAGACAGAAAATTGCATGGAAGGAGATTGTCCATCTTTCTCCCATAGAGCAGCTGGCAGATTTGAACTGTGCTGACTTTGGCATTGCAGAGCAGCTCCTTACCACTAGGCCACCAGAGCTTGGTTTGAGAGGTACTGAAAAGCTTTGTCTTTCATACTTGGAACATGTTGCTAGGCAAGGCTCCTCCTCGGAAAGGGACATCATGCTTGGAAAGGTGGTCTGGGAGCTTGTTGTATGTTTAAGAATAAGCTTTTGTAAAACAATGAAGAAGACCTGTAGACCTCCCAGACCTGTAGAGTTGCATCCCCAACCCCAGGTGGGGCCCAGCAGCTGGTGCTGAGCTGGGAAACTTCAGTGTGTTGTGCACAGGATCGTATGCGCAGCATCAGTCCACTGCTAACACCACCACCAACCTGGAGGTGCTAGTGTAAGAGCCACCGGTAGAGCCAGAAGTGACTCTGCAACGCTGGAGACAAACTCAGAAACAAGTAACAGTGAATATTCTTTAACTGGCAGTAAAGCTAAAATGGAGCCAGAATGGCCCACTTTTAGACCCATTTCCTAAGATCGGCTACATATCATTATTCCAAAGAATTTTTCCAGCTGTTTGGTTATGCCTTTCACTTAGGAGATGGGAAGGTAAGTCACTTTAATGTCTGAGTGTCCTGCCAGACAGCAGGCTCTGAGCCCGGGGGGCTCAGTCTAGTTCTCTGCCATAGCCACTGAGTATGTCTCGCTCAGATTTGTCAAAAGAAGGCTCCATGACCTTGGGCACCTTCCTTGTGCTGCAAGTAACTGAGATTGCAGGGGTAAAGTTGGAAGTGTGTCCCTGAGGGGTTCCTAAACTGGTAGAGGGAGTTGGACGGGTTGTGTGTGGTGATGGGCAGGGAGAAAGGGCAGCCGAGTATCTGGCAGGCAGAATGGACAACATAGAAGGGCAGCAGACGTGATTCCAGCAGGAACAGCATAGTCAGGAGATGACTCTACAAGCTGAGGCGAAAGCGGAGGCGAGGCAGGTGGGGAAGGGCATTCTGAGGAGTGGGGAGCTGCACCTGCTCAGGCCCAGATACTAGCTGATGTTGTATGCCGGCAGGTCTGTCCTCATCCACGTGACAGAATAAAGTTGTCCCCTGAGGTTCTTGGTCTTCATGCGAGCAGATCACCAGGTCTTTTCTACCGTAGAGCCACCACTAGGTTTGATCTGCTAATCTTTTGATTTGCAGCCTAGAGCTTGACCACCATGCCGCTCTCGTGCAGTTTACAGCCTCTGGAAGCCCCCTGGAGGGTCAGCTGTGAATTGGTTCTGACCTGATGGCACCTAACCCTGACAAGGTTAAAACCAGTAACTCTCAGCAGGTCTGCTTTCTGAGGACCTCCGTGGCCCCAGCCAGGAAGGCTGCTGGAGCTGGACCAGCTCATTCCCAGCAGGAATTGTTGGGGGAAGAAAGCAGCTCCCCCAGCAGGCAGCACCAGCAATTCCCAGCCCCATTACACAATGAGTGTCTGGAAGTGGCCTTGGTGGACTCCCCTGGGTCCAGCAGGTCCATTTCAGGAGAAAGTCCAGACCAGCTTGTGTTTACTCCATCCAAAGTGAATCAAATTTGAGCCACAGGCAGACACAACCACAATATAACTGTCCAGGGTTGGGAAGGCGAGGGATGGGAAAGGAGAGGCTGGCAGGTGGGTCCCAGTCTCAGCTCTCTGTCACACGCCCTTGAGTGGCCCTGGCGTCTCTGAAGCATTTCTCCCTCTGCAGAAGAGGAATGACATGTCCTCGCCAGTTTGCTGGTCGCTCAGTCAGTCATTATCATCCAGGCAAAACTGACTCATGGTTGATCCCTCAGTGGCTTTTTGGACGCTGTAAACCACACAGGATGAGATTGTCCATCTTTCTCTTTCAGGGCCACTGGTGGACTCAAATCACCAGAGAGGTGCCACTTTGGGGTTAACAGTGCAGCTCCTGACCCACCAGGCCCCCAGAGCCCTGTCTACTGACCACAAACCAGGCAGTTGTTAAATTATCGACTCATTGCCATAGAGTCAGAAACAACTCATAGTTGACCCTCCAGCAGATTTTCTGAGGCTGAAAATTACACAGGAGGAGACTGTCCACCTTTCTCCCTTGGAGCAGCTGGTGAACTGGAACCCCAGAGATGTGCAGTCTTGGGGTGGGCTGCCTAACTCCCTACAGAATACACCACCAGAGCGCCCAGTCAGACAATGGGGCTGTTTGAAGTGCCCTCAAGTTGACTTTGACTCATAGCGACGCTGAGCAACAGATCTGAACTTTGCCACCCACACCATCTTTGCCATTGTTACAACCACGTGTCAATCCATATTATTGAGGGTTAAATTATGTTGTTGTTGTTGTTGTTAGGTGACAATGAGGATAGAACAATTTATAGTAACTCTGAACAACAGCTCTCCAACCAGAGCTGGAAAGGCAGTAAGGATGGCAGAAGAAGGATTGGTGCATTTGAACTGTGGCACTGGAGAAGAGTGCTGAAGGGCCCCAAGGACCGCCAAGAGATTATAAACAGATACGTCTCGAAAGTGCAGACAGAGTGCTCCTTGGAGGCAAAGGTGATGAAGCTTTTCCTCACATAGTTTGGGAATGTTGATAGCAAAGGTTGATTATTCTTTGCAGAGGGATATTATGCTTGGGGAAGGTGGAGGGTCAGTGAAGGAGAGGAAGACCCTTGACCAGGTGGGTTGACACAGTGACTGCAGCAATGGGCTAGTGTGTGTGTTAAAGTTTGTAAGGATAGGACAGTGTTCAAATCGGTTGTTTGTAGGGTCACTATGAGTCGTATCTGACTGCAGTGGCACCTACCAATAACATACACGAGATCTGAACTCCGCCCTCCCCTGTGCTGTCCTCATCATATTTTATTCATTGTCCAGCTCATTGATCATTGAAAAGATCACAGCCTGAATCAGGTGCACCCTAGTTTTAAAAATGACCTCATCGCTCCTCAGTACTTTGGAGAAGTCTTTGACAGGAGAGTTTATCTATGTGATATGTCTTTTGATTTCTTGACTGCCTGTGCCAAGGTTATTGATTATGGATCCGAGTAAGATGAAATCGTTGACAGTTTCAATCTTTTCTCCATCTATCTTGATGTTGCCTATTGGCCCAGCAGTGAGGATCTTTGTTTTCCAGATATTGGAATGTAATCCTCATTGAAGGCTGTGGATTTTTATTTTCCTGCAGCAAGTGTTTCAAGTCCTTCTCATTTGCAGCAAGCAAGGTGTGTCATCTGTATAAACACACCTTGTTGATAAGTCTTCCTCCAATCCTGATGCCACACTTTTCTTCACAGAGTCTTTATAGAGCTTCTTGAATTATTTTCTCAGCATATGGATTGAATGGGTATGGAGAAAGAATACAGCCCTGATACACAACTTTCTTGATTTTAAACCATGCAAACGTTCCCTTGCTCTGTTCAGATAGCAGCTTCTTGTTCTAGGTATAGGTTTCTTATTAGCTTAATTAAGTAGTCTGGGATTCCCATTCTTCTTGATTTTAACCATTGTTTGTATGTAAGGTGTTATGGTCATTATTGTTCTGACTCTTGTTTTTGTTTTTTAATTATTATTCATTTTAATGAACATTTACAGAGATTTTGGATTTCCATTCATTCATTGTTGCACTTTTCTCCCCTCCTCACCTCCCCACCCCCAGTTCCCTCTTATCTTTGAAAAGTAAAAGAACAGTTCCTTCATTGGTATACAATTGTTCTGACTTGTAATGACTCCGTGTGTGTAAATAACTATTCCATAGAGTTTCTGTGGCTGTAATCTTTATAGATTACAAATAAGGGCCCAGGAATTGATAGAATACCAGTTGATGTAGTTCAACAAACAGATGCAGCCCATGGATGTGCTCACCAGGCTGTGCGAAGAAATCTGGAGTACTATGTGGCAAATTGACCATATTTATTCCCATTCCCCAAAAGATGATCCAGCAGAGTGTGAAAATAATTGAACAATGTCATCACATGCAAGCATAATTTTGCTGAAAATTATCCAAATATAACTGGAACAGTACATTGACAGAGAACGATCAGAAATACAAGCTAGGTGTAGAAAAGACCATGGCACTAGGGACATCAGTGCCAACATTAGATGGATCTTTGCTGGAAGTAAAGAGTACCAGAAGGATGTACATTTATGTTTTATTGATTATGCAAAGGCATTTTACTGTGTGAATCACAACAAATTGTGGCAAGCCTTGAGAAGAATGGGAGTCCCAGAGCACTTGATTGTGTTCATGCAAAACCTATACCTAGACCAGGAAGCTGTCAAAAAACATAACAAGGGAACACTGCATGGTTCAAAATCAAGAAGGGAGGGGTGTAAGGGATGTATTCTTTCTCCATAGATTTTCAATCTGTATGTGTAACAGATTATTTAGGAAGCTAGACTCTATGTGAAAGAATGTGGCATCAGAATTGGAGGAAGACTCATCAACAACCTGTGTTATACAAATAATACAACCTTACTTGCCAAATCTGAGAATTTTAAGTATTTGATACAGATCAAAGACTGCCGTTTTCTCAGTATCAAGGAAACAAAGATTCTCACTACCAGGCCAATTAGCAGCATCATGACAGATGGAGAAAAGATTGAGGTTGTTAACAATTTCAGCTTGCTTGTATCCACAAATATTCTTGACACCAGCATGCAGGAAATAAAAAGATGAGTTGCTTTAGGAAAGTCAGCTGTCAGCATCTCTCCAGATTGGTAAAAAGCAACAATGTCAGTCAAGAGATTAAGGTGCACCTGATCCCGACCATGATTTTCTCAACTGCTTGCTTTGCATTTTATAGCTGGACAATGACTATGGATGACAGGAAAAGAATCAATGCCATTGCGTAGTGGTACTAGAGAACAGCATTGAACACACCATGAACTGCCAAGTGAACAAAACTAACTGTCTTGGAGAGGGTGAAGCCAGGTTGCTCCTTGGAGGCAAGAATCTTGAAACTCTCACTCACATATTTTGGACATGTTACCAGGAGGGGTCAGTCCTTGGAGAAGGCCATCATGCTTGGAAGGGTGGATGGTCAGAACAGGAGAGGATAACCTTGGATGAGATGGATTCACATAGAGACTGTGAAAATATGTGTCAGAGATGGTGAGATTTGCTCAGAATAGGGCAGGGACCAGAGCTATTTTTCATAGGGCTGCTTTGAGTTGTAGTTGACTTGATGGCACATAACAACAATCTTTATAGATGCACAGTAGCACATTCTTCTGGCTACCACTAGCTGAGTTCAAATCACCAGTCTTTTGATTGTGATTCAGCCCAATTGTGCCACTCAGAGAACTCATCATAGGGCAAGCTACAAGAAATTGATTATATTAAACTCCACTTTTACTTCCATACTTGACAGCTTCATATATTTCTGATCAATATCAGCAGCATATGTCAAATAAGAGCAGCCACGATTTGCTGTACCCTGACCACAAACCACGTGCCATGCTCAGTTCAGACATTTTAATCGCACACACAACCTTAGGTCACAGGGTGCTTCCCCGATTTTTCAGGCAAGGAACTCAACGCACCTAGGTTACATAAAGATTATGCAATAGGATTTGAACTTGAGAAAATATTTTTGAGCTATTTCCTCAGTCCAGGGCCAAAGCTCCAATGTGGACAGTTTGCTGTGCTGGTATCTCCTCCCCAGCAACTCATCCAGAAGATCACAAATTGGTCAGGAAGCATGGAACTAAACCTGGGTTGTCAGCTTCTGAGAACCCATTGGAGGACCAGCGATCGGTTGGTTTTGCCTCAGTGGCACACAAAAACGGGAAGAGGGAGGTTTTTAAACTCACCGTCAATGAGGTATAATGTATGTACATTAGTATACACATAAATTAGGCTTACAGCTCAATGAGTTTTGACAGATCGATACATGTGGACAATTGCCACAATTCTTGTGTCCTTTTGTACTTGCATTGTCCTCCTTATTCTCAGCAACCTTGGGCCAGGTGTCCATCACTAAAATGAATTTAACTATTGTAGAACTTTATGCACATGCAATTATATTCAATGTGCTCTGTTGTGTTTAATCTCCTTCCTTTATCATGGCTGTGGTAGTGGTGTTGTTGATCCAGGTTACTACATCAAGAGTTGATCTTTTTATTGCTAAGTCCCACTGTGTGTGTGCATATTTCACTGTATAAAGATGCCACAATCAGCCTTCTCATTTATCTACTGATAAACATTCGAGTTGCTCTTAGCTGGGGGCGGTTGTGAGCAATGCTGCTGTACAATGCATGTACAATACCATGTCAGCACAATTTTTCTTTCTTTTCAGTAGTATGGTATACTTAGCAGTTTGAATACTTTCACTTAACTATCATCAGGGGAAAGAACAGAATATGAGATATTTAAATATATAACGAAAGGACATTATTAAGGAAATGAGATTCTACTACGTCAATGAAAGATTATGGATCCATTAAAATTACAAAAGACTGTGCTGAAACAAGAAACCCTGGTGACATAGTAGGTTAAGTGTCGACCTTGAACTGCCAACCTTAACTGATCAAAAGGTCAGCATCTCCAGCAGCTTTACAGGAAAAAAGATAAGGCTCTCTCTTCCCATTATGATTTACAGCCTTGGAAACCAGATAAGCGTTGGCATGAACTGGAATCAGTTTGGCAGCAGTGGGTTTGATGTTTTGGTTTTATACTGAAATAGGAATCCCTGGGTGGTGGACATGGTTAATGCACTTGGCTGCCCCGAGATATCTTTGAAGAAACACCTGGGTGATTTACTTGCCAAACATCAATAATAGAAAACCTGATGGGATACAATTCTAGACCTGATGCACATGGTTCTTCACCATAAATTGGTATTAATGCCACAGTGAAACACAGTGAACCATGAACAATGTTTCAAAACATATTCCTAGACAAAGAAGACAAAATTGCCCGTGTCCTATACTGCTATGTTTGATACTCTAATTGTGTGGACTGGTTGGGCATGGCCTCTACACTTGTTCCTCTAACAGAGTTGTGAGCACACTTGATTGTAATTGGCTCTATTTCTCCATCTGTCATCCCCTCCCCCACACCAGGGTTACTCCACAAGCCATCAGCATTGGCTTTAGGTCCCTCTCTCAATTCTTGGTGCTCAGTGGTTCAGGAATTGCATAGAAACATGAAGTAAGCAATCCCTCAATTATAATCCAGGGACTAATTCTAGGGATTCAATGAAATAGAATGTGTTAATATCACTCCATGTCCAATCTTCCTGGTTTGGATCAACCAGACTCTCGGACTTGTGTAACCAACCCCATCAACCTCAGGGACTAATCTATATTAGACTTTGGCTGAAAGAAGTTACCAGAAGCTGGCATTGGGGAAAGAGAGGAAGGTTTTGTGCAAGGTATTTCCCAAGCACTCAGTGGATTGTGTCACAGCCCGGACAGCTGACCCAATCTGGGCCCCGGGCGCCCCACCCACAGTTGACTATAAAGGTGGATGAGATCTCAGGCCGCCAGTCTTACTGACCAAGTGCCTCATCCCTCAGTATGGTGCTGGCTTGGGCGCTCCCTGTCTTGAGCCTCCTCCCTCTGCTGGATGCCCAGGACCCAGCATGTGCCAACCTAACAGCAATGCCTATCACCAACGCTACCCTGGAGCGGGTGAGCACCAGGCTCCCTCCCCCTGCTGGTTAGCCCTCTGCTTCTGGCTCTGTCCTTTCCTCTCTTGTGTGCTCATGGAACTCTGACCAGCTGGGTCCCTCGGGCAGCATTCACCTGCCCTCCAGACCCAGAAGTCCTATTCCAAGGTCCCTTGGCAGAGGCCATTTCTGTGCTGGACAAGGAGGTGTTGCTAGTAGAATTGCCTGATTCACAGTGTAAGAATCTCTGTCTTCTCATCTGTAAAATGGAGCCAGAGATTAGCTGTCCCCTCCCAGCCGACTGTCGAGGATGTTTCAGCTGCAAGCCCCCATCACCAGCTTCTGGTCTCTCCCCAGATCTCTGGCAAATGGTTTTACATCGCCTCAGTCCTACAAGAGCCCAGCTACAACCGGGAGTCCAGACAGATCCAAGCAGACTTCTTTTACTTTACCCCCAACATGACGGAGGACAAGATATTGCTTCGCGAGTACCAGACCATGTGAGAGCCCCACTGGCCAGCCCCTGCCCACCCCACACTCCCCATGTGGCCACTGACTTCCAGCTCCCACTCCCAGCAGCTAGAAGACCTAGAACAAGTCCCTCCTGATCCTGCTCTCATCTCCCCATCCTCAGAGTGGGAGGATTGACTCCAAACTCCCCCGAGGCCCTGCCCCTTGATGCCAGTTGGCCCTCTCTCCCTGACCCTCTCACCTCACTCACTTCTCCTCTTGCTTCTGACTTTAGCCGGGGCCAATGCATTTATAACTCCAGCTACCTGGAGGTCCAACGGGAGAATGGAACCCTCTCTAAACACTGTAAGTGCTGGCCCTCAGATTGGAGGGTACTGTGGGAAGGGGGCTACTATAGAGTGGCGGGGTCTCCAGGGACTGAGGACCCAGAGAACATGGGGAAGGCCTGCATCTTCTATCCCTGGATAGAAGTGGTCCTGGAATCTGCCTTCTGTAATGATGGTGTCAGAACCATCCTGAATTTTCACTGTGTGCCGGGCGCTGTGTGAAGCACTTTACATCAGTTGGTTTGTTGAATACTCACAAATAACCTGCTGCTATTATAATGATTATGCCCAATTCACAGATGAGAAAACCGAGGCATAGAGAAGTCAAACCAAGATTCAAATGAAAGGCTAACTCAGTCCTGCCTTTCTCAGCCCAGTGCTCTGGAAGTGAAGAGTAGCACGAGTGTTGAGCAGACAATTCCCCTCTTGGTCCTCCCGGCTGAGGAGGCAGAGTCTGACACACCGTGGCGATGCGATGGAGCCAGCACAGCTGACAGCTCTGAGGCTCCTCTTGACACCTCATTTACCTCATCTGTAAAATGGGGAGAAAGACTCTGACACCAGACGGTATAGGCTATTATGAGTCTGTGTACATATGTGTGTGTATGCATGTACACATGTAACACATGGATATATTCCACATATGTTCCATGCATGTAATGCATAGTCCATGCATGTATGTATATGCAGCATTCAACACAAGATCCAGGACATGTGAAACTGACAGTGTGGTGGCCTCGTAAACCCTGGGTCTTCACTGATAAGCACCCTAAATCTCCTCATCTGTAAGGTGGTAACCGTTGAGCCCGTCTCACCTCAGATGCTATTTTCTCCTCCAGTGTCAGATGGAAAACATTTTGCCTACTTGTTGCTTACCAAGGACCCCAAGACCTACATGTTCTCCTTCTTCCCAGAAGATGAGAAGAACCGGGGGCTGTCCTTCTACGGTAGGCACCCCTGGAAGTCCCCAACTGCAGTTTCACCCTTCAGACTGAGCTCTCTGAACTCCAGTCCTGCCTGGACTTCCACACAGGTTCCCCCTAACCTCCTCACTCTAGCCCCTGTTCCCCACTGCAGCTGACAAGCAGGATGTGACAGAGGAACAACTGAGAGAGTTCTATGATGCCCTCAGGTGCATGGGCCTACAGGAGACGGATATATTGTACACTGATGGGAAAAAGGTAACCCACCGACGGGAAAGTGCTACCCAACCAATGGGGAGAGGGATGGGGAAAAAGCTAAGCAACTGTAAGAGGACTCACACGGTGTTACCACCAGCTCATGGGCAGCTTGCCATTGGCAGCCCATGGAGGCTCAGACAGGGAAGGCTGTGAGCTAAGGCTACTCAAAGCAAGACCACTACTTGTAGGCCCTGCTCACTGGCAAGGGCAGTGGAGGGTTCTGTGGGCATGACGAGGTGGACGAGAGCCAGTGGAAGCTGACTACTGAATTTCTGTGCATGTAAATAGCACAGGAGGAGACTGCCTACTTTTTTTTAAGGACTCATGGTAGATTCGAACCAGCAGATAGGCTCAGTCTTTAGTTAGCATGGCAGTTCTCTATAAACTAGGCCACTAGAGTGACTCACTTTAAAGAGATATAGATGATCTAGAGAGAGATAGAGATAGATGATGATGATGATGATGATGATGAAGATAGATTAGATAGAAAATAGATATAGATAGATAGATAGATAGATAGATAGATAGATAGATAGATCATAGATAATAGATAGATAGATGATAGATATAGATATCCTCCGAAAGTCTGATGATGGGTCAGTTCCAACTTGATAACTTGATCACACATAACAACCACAACAATAATATATAGAGATATTAATATATAGAGATATGTTGGTGGTATTGTGTGCTGTCAAGTTGGAACAGATCCATAGCTGCCCCTTCAGTGGGTTTTCAGAGGCAGTAAATGGCACAGGAGGAGATTACCCATATATACATACATAAACACATATAGTGTGTGTATACATATACATATACACATACATATACATATACATATACATATACATATACAGGTGTGTATACATATATGTTAGGGGCCTCTCCAAAGTGCTGAAGAGCAGTGGTGTCTCTCTGGAGACTAAGGTGCGTCTGATACAGGCCATGGTCTTCGCAATCATCTGTTATGCATCAGAGAGTTGGACAATGACCAAGCAGGATAGAAGGAGAACTGATGCCTTTGAGCTGCGGTGCTGGAGAAGAGTACTGAGAATACCATGGACTGCTAGGAAAACAAATAGATTTGTCCTGGAGAGGGTTAAACCGGGTGGTTCCTTGGAGGCAAGGATTCTGAGGCTCCGTCTAACTTCCTTTGGACATGTAGTGAGGAGAGACCGGTCCTTGGAGAGGGACATCATGCTTGGGAGGATGGAGGGATGGCCCAGGAGAGGAAGGCCCTCTATGAGGTGGATTGATTCAGTGACTGGGATAATTGGGATGGGAGTGTCAGAGACAGTGCGATTGGCACAGGACAGAGCGGAGTTTAGGGCTGTTGTACATAGGGTCGCTATGAGTCGCAGGCGACTCGACGGCACATAACAACAACAACATACATATATGTGTGTATATATACATACACACACATATATATACACACACATATATATGAAAGATGGAGAATCTTGTCTCATGTGAGTTGCAGCCTTGGAGGGGGAATTATGAGTCAGTTCCAACTGACAGCAATGAGTTGTTAATTACACACACACACAGAGCTTGGGTCGATGGAAATGTCTCATTGGTTTGTCACTCAAGAGCATCTCATGTAACATCAATGCTTTGAATCCACACTGGGAGCCCTGGGAAAAGGCTATGAACTCAAGTATCAAGTCACACTACCTGGCTGAAAATGTGCCTTCCTCATCTAAGATGAGTGGTCTTGGACTGGTAATGTGGCTACTCTAAGCCTCAGTGTCATTATCTGTTAAATGACAGTGGTTATGAGGAATCCTGGAGACACAGCATAAGGGTTTGACGGACCGTAAATGTTCATTAAATACCAATTCTTCTTAGAGAATTGTACCCCCATTGGAGAGATGAGCAAACTGAGGTTCAGAGAGGGAAAGAGATTAGTCAAGACTTGTCAGAACCAGGAATGGGAGCCCTGACAATGTGATTTCAGAGCTTAGAACTTTCCATTCCCATGGAAAACCTCCCTCCACATTAACTGTCCTTTCTCCCGGCACTGTCTCCCAGGACCTGTGTGGGCCGCTGGAGCAGCAGCATGAGGAAGAGAGGAAGAGAAACCAGGAGTCCTAGATAGATGCAGGTTGAGCTAGGACCTTGGCAACTTTAGAGACCCACCCTCAACCTCCCATTGGTCTTGGATCTGTTACATTGCAGTCGTATCAATAAAACTTCTATGTTTGGAACAGGCTGGCCAATCTCTTGTCATTCTCTTCATTCATGCTGACATTGTCCTGAGTTGGGACCAGCTCAGTGTAGGACCAGCTCAGGCCCTGGTGGCAAGAAGCCCTGAGCAACACCCAGCACACCCCTTGCAGGAGGAAGTCTGGGAAGCCTTCTGGAAAAAGCATCTGAAAGATGAGCTCAGTAAAATGTACTGTTCATTCTGCAAGCGGAGGACCTGAGGGGACATATGCGAGGACTCTGAGCCACAGGACTTTGGAGTTGAGGTGGATTAGAGGTGGGATGAATTGAGGTATGGGACAGGTTTGAGGAGGACCTTGTCTGAGACATTCTACACTGGCTGCCCGGGGAGGCAAGTTCCCTCAAAATTTCATTGTCATCCAGTCAGTACCAACTCATCATTGATTCCCCATTGGGTTTCCAAGGGTGTGAACTGCATGGGAGGTGATTCTTGTCTTTCTCCCATGGAGCCGCTGGTGAGTTCAAACTGTTGGCGTCATGTCATGGCCTTTGGTTTAGCACCTCAATGCCTGCTGGGAAAAGCTGCATAGCGACCTATGGGAGGCAGGTTAGGAGAGGCCAAAGACAGGAAGACTCGCATGGATCTTCCAGGACTGAGCCAGGGCTGGCAGGTGTGAGGCACAGTGGCCTGACCAGGGGTCGAGGTGACTTCCAGACACCCATCTGGGGACGAAGAGGAAAAGAATCACACCAACAGTAAGGGCTCCCCTTAACATCTTGCAGCTGTTTTTGGAACTTTTGAGCTGGGGCCATGTCTGAGGCAAAAATGGAGCCAAACTCTGAAGCCAGAGATCCAGCTAGATCAGCATCCTTCCACTCCACAGAGACTTACAGCCTTTTGGGTCAGAGGGGAGAAGTATCAAACCATCAGAAAAAAGTCAAGCCTTATCTTTCTTTGGCTATTCCATCAGTGTTGCTGCCTAAATTACTTAGTGACAGAGCCATACACGTGGGCCTCATTCCCAGGCCTGGGCCCTCACACACCAAGGTCCTTTCTGCCTCCTCTCTGAAGAGCCAAGCTCCATGTGCACAGGACTCCAATATCCCTTGCTAAAGAGATGAAGCTGCTGTATAGTATCTGAGACAGAAATTCCCACCATGGGCCTCATTCCCATCCTGATACAGTGAAGATCCTGTGAACATTAGTGGATAGAACAGCCTCTTGGCCCCAGAAGAGTCTGGGTCCAGAGACTCAAGACCTCTAGAATTCCATTTCACAGTAAACTCCACCAAGAAGCCATTTTCATCTCTGACAAAATAAGAGTTGTCTTGGGGGTCCACAGTCAATACCCATGGACAGCAGCAGTCAGAAAATTAAGAGATGTGCTGCATGGAGAAGATCTGCTGTCAAGGACCGCTTTAATGAGCTCATGAGCAAGGATGTCAGTTTCAAGACTAAGGTGAGCCTGATGCAAGCCATGGTATTTTTCAATTGCTTCATATGCATGTGAAAGCGGACAATGAGTTAGAAAGACCGAAGAATTGATGCCTTTGAAGAGTGGTGTTGGTGCAGAGTGCTAAATAAACTACAGCTTGCCAAAAGAATCATCACAACTTGGAGGAAATGCAACCAGGCTGCCCCTTAGAGCAAGGATGAAGAAATTGTGTCTTGTATGCTTTGGACACGTTGTCAGGAGGTGTGAGTCCCTGGAAAAAGAAATCATGTTAGGAAAGGTGAAGAGTCAGAGAAGGAGGGGAAGACACCCAAGGTAACCCATTAATTGCAATAATAGGATTGTGATAGATTGTGGGGATGGGACAAGATAGGGCAAGGTTCCAGTCTGTTGTTTCCAAGATTTCAGAGTCATAGTCAACTTTATGGCACCTAACAACAAGTGGGGGGCAGTGGAGGAGAAGTGAGTTAAATGAGAGGAGAGGATGACTGATGAAAAGAAACAGATGAAATATGTGAGGGGGGAAAATCACTGAGGTGTAAGAAGAAAAATAACAAAGAATACAGACATGCAGCCCATTGGAACTGGTCTTCTCAATAAAATGGGGATAGCAGGGCACCTCGGTGGCCACTATGTGCCCGCGTGAAGTATGTCAGGCCACGTGCTCAGCTCAGAGAGAGCAACCAGTAGGTGTTACTCATGCAGCTATTGCTTGAGTGTTATGCTGCTAGTGTTTATGAAACTCTGTAAAGAGACCAAGTTTGTGCTTCTGCTGACAATTGGCAGTGATATTTTGGGTCTCAATTGAGAGGGACTTGACCACACAGCCTCTCCTGGCTGGGCCCCTCCATTTCAATGGACTTGGAGACAGGCAGAGAAGAAAGACAGAGACACACAAGCCTTCAGCAGGAGGCAGGCAGAGTCAGAATGAGGGTGCCCAGCAGCCCCCGAGAGCCCTCAGTGGGCATTTACTGTCCCACTCCCAAACCCAACTTTAGAAACACAGGACACAACCAGCAGATGCCTGAGGCGCTTGACATTTTCTTCCTTTCTTTTTATAAGACCAACATTTATTCTTCTTCACTTGTTCTCATAACGAAAATAGATCTTTAAATGACTCTAATATACAGACATCATTGATGCACACACATTCCAAAAATGCTGAGGTAAGTTCTGCTGTGGGGTTGAGGAGCAGGAGATGACCACAGTTTGTGCCCCACACCGGGGCCTGCTGGTGGCTGACCACCAGCCAAATGTCACAGGATCCTCAAGGGGCTGAGGGCTGGGTAAGGTTCTGAAGGAGACCATGAGGACATCACTGCGAGGGACCACGAAGGGCACACTTCTAGGCCCTTCCACAGGCTGTCTCCATCCCAGCAGCCTCCTGGGAAAGGTGTCTTCTCCAGACACACTCACTGGCCCTCAAAAAAACCCCCACTGACCACCGGTCCCAAGTAGTAAATGTCTCCAGCCATGTCCCTCCCAGAGATGCTTACTCAGAATTGTGTTCGCCACAGAAGGTGGAACATGTTTTCTGCCAGAGACCCAGGCCTTTTCCTTTCTGATCAGGCTTCCTCAGGAGAACGCAGGACCAGGAAAATGCCTCAGTTTTTAAAAAAATATATGTCCATTTGTATATAAAATACATATTATTAGCTGGTGGTAGGCAAGGATACTCTCATAGAGGCGATACAGACACAAAAGGAGTCTTGGTTCCAGCACCTCCTAGAAGCAGCTGGTCCCCCTTAGACACTGTTTCTCCTCATGCCCACTGAGCCGGCTGGGCCTGTGCTGGAGGGAGTTCTTCGGAGTCCGCAGGAGCCTGCCTGCTGATTACAGCATCAGCTGACTCCTGGGTGGGGGATAGAGTGGGCTTCCAGCCCTGTCTGTCCCCATCCTATCTATCTTTGGGCCACAGGTGACATCAGAAGAGGCAGGAGCCCCGCAGGCCCTGGGCCTGGCGAAGGTCGGCCGACAGGGAGCGGCTCATCTGCTTGGTGGTGGAGCGGACACTCTTGGCGGCCTGGACAGCTCGGCTCAGTGCCCGGTTGAGCTCCTCCAGGCCGGCCAGGTCTAGCTGGACGGAGTGTCGGCGTCCTGCAGTTGGCCGGGAAGAGGCCGTCGGGGGCCACTCTTCGGCTACTCGGGCTGAGGTAGGTCTTTGGGGGACATAGTACCTGAGGGGAGAGGAAAGTGCACTCATTAATCTTAGGGAAAGCTGCGTGCAGCTGAGTTGTGCTGGTTCTAGATTTGACCCACTTCCAAACCCCAGCTGAGCCAGAGGCTCCCCGTGTCTCAGGTTCACCCCCTCAAAAATGGGACTATGAGATGGTGGTGGTTCAACAGCAGAATTTTTGCCTCCCCTGAGCCCTGGTCTGGAGTCTTCATGCAGAACTATCACCTATCGGCCAGTGAATGCTTGTGCGTTGTGTAATGTTGTACAGGTTTCAGCGGGGCCTGCTGACTAAGGCAGAATAGGAAGAAAGGCCTGCTAATCCGCCTCAACCAGTGAAAACTCTATGGCTCATAAACACATTATGTACAGTGTGAAAGGGCTTCACTAGGATCTGAGTGGAAAGTCATCCAAAAAAGATACGTAAACGGTTAACCAACACATGAGAACACGCTCACCACCTCTAGTCCTTAACCAGTTGTTCTCTTAACCTGGATGCATCTAGAGGACATAATGCTAAGTGAAACAAGTCAGTCACAAAAGGACTCTTGATGTTTAAGACTACAACTAAAAAGCTAAGGAAATGCTTACACAGAGACAGAATCATGCTTGGATGTTTAGCAGGGATGGGGAGAAAGGAGGAGGAAAAATTCATGAACTTGAGAAGCTAGGGGAAAGAAAAGGCAGGATACATTTTGATCAGACATTATAATTAATGATATGAATCAATTGTGACTAATGTTATAAAACAAAATGTAGGAGCTCTGGTGGCCTGATGGCAAGAAGCTGCACTGCAATCCCAGGGGCACGCACTTCGAATCCACCAGATGCTCTGCTGGAGGAGGAGGGGCAATCTCTCCTGTAGGAGTCAGATCTGATTTGATGGTTGTTGTTGTTGTTATGTGTCATTTGCGACTCATAGTGACCCTATGTACAACAGCCCTAAACCCTGCTCTATCCTGTGCCAATCTCATTGCCTCTGAAACACCCATCCCGATTACCCCAGTC